CCTCGAATCCGATGGTCGAACTGTCATGAACACAGTTCAACTATTCACATAGGTTTACCTCGGGACTGATATTTTTGATCGCGGTCTGGGCACCTCGCAGTTCCCCGGCTGAGCATACAGTGAGTGGATGGGGCAACATCTCATCTGGAGCCCTCACGTGTGATTAACCGAGATTTAACTAAGTCTTAAGACATTTTTATGGTAGGTGATAAGGTCTGGCGCTAGCTTCCTCCGGTTTCCAACTTTCTGATGGGATTTGTGCTTATTTCCTTCCTGTCAAATAGACATAAAAACATGTCTTGAAATACGGGAGTTTCAGCAGTACTCATATCCTGAAACCGGCGTTTATGCTGCCAAGCTATACGATTTGATCTACAATTTGGGAGTGGGGCAAGAACGGACGCTCTTCCTCGGTGGTTAAGCCCGATGCGGACCTACGGTTCGAGGTTCTCCACAACTATGATGGACTTTCAGTAACGTCACGGTTCATTCTCAATTCAGTCTACGAACACAGTTTGCCGATGATGGGTGCGTTATTCGCTATTTAACAAACGGGCGCCATGGCATTAATTGCCCCCGGTTTGGGCTTTTGCTGGTTGACTCTTCAGCTCTTAAGAGAGAGCGGACGAGACTGAAATACAGCCAACTCCCCCCTGAGATGTATGCTTCCAAGGTTGTTTTTTTCGCTTTCGTTGGGTAAACGTCTGCATTAGGTTATTGACTTTCGGCGCTATATTCACTATTTTCATCTCCTTGGGCTACAGTAGTCCGGCCAAGGTTTGGATATCCATAACGAGAGTGCTACATTTGAAAGTTAGTCGTTTGGTAGCAACGCACGTCATGCAACCACTAAAATAGAGGAAGATGACGACTTCACATGATGACAGTTCGACCATCGGTTTCGATGATGTCCACCGTGTGCCCCAAGGTTGCAGCAGCAATGGGAGCAGGGACGGCGACTTACACAGGGGTTTATAGTGCCGGTAGTCTTGCGTAGCATCTACCTACACTCTCTCCTCCTCCCCCGCTTAAGCCCGGTGCCAAGACAGAGTCAAGAAGACCGGAGACGGGGGAGGCCGCAGGTGGATGGCTCGGACGGATCCTCACCTTGGCGTTCCTCCACACCCCCTGGTCCACACAACCAATAACCAGGATTTCAACCAACAACAGAGATCTGGAGGCTGGCACGGCCGAAGCCGCACCTGGGCGTGCCGCCAACGCCTGGCTCGGATCTCACACTCTGATGGGAC